TCAAGGGATACTTTCAGGAGAAAGGAAGTGAGGGTAGCAGGGGAGAATAGGAGAAGGAGCCAAGGAAAGATGTAGTTGGAGTCAAGCTTCAGCTGGGTGATACTGAGAACTCTAGAGATGAATTACACTAGAGTTGATCCACCTTTACACAGAAATGCCAGCTTGTCCATTTCTCATTGGTTTCAGACTGCCCCCTTCCCTGGGGTGGGAGTGAGGTTTTATCTGCCAGGGTGAGGCATCTCCTATTCTGAAAAAGGGGACAGTTATGAGACATTAGCACTAATCCTAATAGCAACAGGGGAATGGGCATCCTGACCTGGTAAAGAGCTCTGGGAATGGCACCGATAGTAACCAACACTGACCACCCCTTTGTAGTGCTATTGAGATCTACTTGTTTCTCCCATTGTTGATTCCACCCAGGCACAGGATTCTGGTTGCTCCCAACTTCTGGGCAATTTACAAGAGGAAAATTAGCTCTATGAACAACAGCCCCCACTCCTGGCCCCAAGTTGATAAGATGCTCATCACACCTCTTCCCTGTCACCCGTTCTGGAACCCGTCTCCCCTCAGCTAGCACTTTCGAGTGGGTTGTCTTGAGGAGTGCCCCATTCCATCAACCTTGAAGGGAACTTATTAATATATTTTATATAATAAATGAGATATTCAAGGTTACTTTAAACTCAAATATGTACTGCTGTCTGGGAGAAGCTTTTATTATTAAATAGTCAAAACTTGCATCACTTGATTACTGACTGACTGTCTTGAAACATGCCCTTTGTTTTCAATAGTCCACCAGCTCCTTTGGGCCATCAGCTCAGCTGCTGCTCAGTACAATGAGACCTCTGTTTAGCTCCCAGCCTGAGTGCCTAACTGATATTATTGTTTATCCAAGATTTCACAGTCTTCCTTTTTTTTCTCCTAGAATTTAGCTTCCTCTGAAAATGTAATCTAAAGTAGGAAGAATGGTGAGCCAAGAATTTTTTTCAATTAACCTGTAAAGTATGCATAGTGGGGGAGGGACACAGTGACCGGTACATCATATGATTTTCCAAGTCAAGTGTGTCCTCTGGAATCCCTCTCAGATCATTAGGCAGTTTATTTTTCCATATGAGAAATCAACTGCATTTCTTGCCCCAATAAATTTCTGCCTGTTTTAATATCCATAGCTTCTGTTTAAGGTATTTATCATCTTTAAAAAAAATTGCTGTTGAGGATATGCTAAGCCTATCTCCTATCTATGACTGACTTAAATGCAAATAGGAACTATGTGAAACGTTAAATGGCCATATGACAGTCTTGCAAAGACCTCACATTTGACTCAGCAGATGGTCTTTTACCACCTAGTTTCACTCACACATTTTTAGTGCTTCAGATCACACAGCTACAACATAAGTGCAGGGTCTCCTGGGATTCCAGAACTGCTCCAAGGTTTATATGAGGATGGAGGTGCATGGGACTTGTAGGAGAGGGAAGAGAGTGGGAAAATCCACTCTGGTCTATTAAGAAAGATATGCTTGTGAATAGGTACCAACCACTGGAATTGTGTTGCTCAAGGGGATACCTGTTATATTAAGAGAGATCCTCCATAGTTGCATATCTCACTTCAAAGATACTTAATCAGAATTGTCCTGAAATATTTAAGATCACCCAGATGATCCTTATCAAGAAAACATGGGAAACATTGCCTTAAGGAAAGAGTAAGATGTCTTATTTTTCCAAAACCTTCCAATATTTGAATGGTGAATTAATGCTTTGTGGTTGCCTGGAAATTTTTTTATGAGAAGACAAAGACACCCAAGAGGCACCCAATATCATGCTCCTGTCTGGGAGGTGTAGAAATAAACTGTGTTAAACCTTGCCCAGGCCATCCATCATTAAAATGCATCTATTTTTCCCACTGTATGGGAAAACATATTTGCCAATGATACATCTGATAAAGGGTTAATATGCAAAATATAAAAGGAACTTAACAAAAGGAAGACAAACAATTCAATTGAAAATGGGCAAAGGATCTAAATAGACACTTGTCCAAGGTGGACATTCAGAAAGCCAAGAGACATATGAAAAAATGCTCAAAGTCACTGATCATCAGAGAGATGCAAATTGAAACAACAATGAGGTATCACCTCACACCTGTCAGAATGTCTACCATCAACAAATCAATAAATGACAAGTGCTGGAGAAGATGTGGAGAAAACTCTGTCACACTGCTGGTGGGAATGCAGACTGGTGCAGCCATTATGGGAAACAGTATGGAGTTTCCTCAAAAAATTAAATATGGAACTGCTATTTGACCCAGGGATCCCATTTCTAGAAATATATCTTATGAAACCTGAAATACCAATCAGAAAGGATGTATGCACATTTATGTTCATAGCAGCGCAATTTATAATAGCTAAGACTTGGAAACAGCCCAAGTTCCCATCAGTAGATGAGTTAGTAAAAAAGCTGTGGTACATTTATACCATGGAACACTATGCAGCAGTGAAAAAGAAGGATTTCTTACCCTTTGAGACAGCATGGAGGGACCTAGAGAGTATTATGCTAAGTGAAATAAGTCAGTCAGAGAATGACAAGTATCACATGATGTCTCTCATATGTGGAATCTAATGAACAAAATAAACTGATGAACAAAATAGATCCAGAGACATGGAAGCATTGAACAGACTGTTGAATCTCAGAGGGAAGGCGGGATTGGGTGGGTAGATGGGTAGAGATCAACCAAAGAACTTGTATGCATAACCCATGGGCACAGACAATAGTGTGGTGAAGGCCTGGGGCAAGGGGTGGTGGTGGACTAGAAAGGGTAATTGCAGGGGGAGGGACATATGTAATACTTTCAACAATGAAAAATTTTAAAAAATAAAGTAAATAAAAATCTCATGATTTTCAAATGTTGGTAGTTGATCTTAATTTGTCAAAAATTTGTTGCAAGCCAAATGAAACACACCTCTGAATTATACTGAACCCATAGAGCAGCAACTCACTTTCATTAGATTATAGAAATGAGCATAGTTACAGATCCCATTGGACCTGGAAAAGTTGCTTATCCATCTTCCCTAATTTTACTGATAAGAAAATAGAAGAATGATGAGCAGGTAGAAGGAGTAAGGTGGTATCTGGGACCTAAGTATCTGCCTTTTAGGATGATTGTCTACTCCTATACACAGTGAGTTGCTACAGATTCCTGGATGGGTGCACTGAGTTTCTCCATGACTACTTCATTGAACCCACAGAATTCCAATGACGCTCTCCATTGTCCAGGAGATTGTTTGATTCCTAAGCCTGAATTAAAGATACTGACATAGCAGGCATGTGCAGAGAAGGGTCTGCAATGCTTGATTGGCAAAGACTGGGGACACTGCTGTCTTTATCACTTCATTCAAAAATTTATAAATATCTTGGCTTGAATTATTTCATAAATATGATTTTCTAATGGGTCATTCTAAGTTGAATTCCAAAGAATGCTACACAGCTATATATTTTAAAGGTACAAACTTAAATAAGCTAGCATTTAGGTCAAATAATCGAAGGCGGTGACTTAAGATAATTAAATAAATTGGTAAATAGTTTTCTATATACATTGTTTATAGATTTACCATTGTTTAAATTATTTTCTATTTTCTGTTATTTAAATAATTCCATATGATTTATCATTTGTTTAAAACTTAACTTTTTATATAGTTGGTCTTTCTGAAATCTGGAAATTTGAAAAATATTCACATGTGTTTTATGAAATGCTGATTATTTTTACATTGTCTTTAAATTAGTACTGCTAATATGGGCAATAAAATAGCTCTAATAATGGCTTGAAGTGAATGGCTTGTGAATAGGATTTTTTTAGATGGTAACAATTAAATACATGTAACCAGAAAAAACATCTTTAATGTGTATGTGTGTGTGTGTGTGTGTGTGTGTGTGTGTGTGTGTGACTTGACGTCCATCCCTTGGGCTGTATCGTTTTGTGATATGGAACTGTTCTTTCTTCAGGTGTTCAGGTTCTTCTTTTAGAGGGAGCTTCATTCAGTCTTCTCTCTCCCTCTCTATTTATGTGCCTGTGTGTGTATGATGTCAACCACTGTTAAGGGTTCCTGGGTGAGTTTAATATCTGACTACAAGGCCGGATGCCAGCCCCAGAGTCAACTTTCCAGGGAGTGCGAATAAGGACATTGTCCCCTGGGCCTGGACATGGTGCTCAAGATTCCCAGGTCTCCCTAAACCTGTTCTGCTAGGCGCCCAGGCAACATCAGACGCAGCTTCCTGTTGGGGTATTCTTACAGTGCATGGAGGTAACCATCAGTTTTTGAATGGACATCCAGTTTTATCCACATAATAAAATATTTTAATTTTAAGGACAATTGTCAACAGGCTTAGAAGACCCAGGGTAAGTGTCACTGATGCACTCCTGTAGCGATTTCACACTCCAGGCTGAAACAGTCAGCATCCTCAGATACTGTGTCCAGTAAGACCAGACCCCACCCGCGCACCACGCACGCACACGGACCTGCTGACCCCTGTGCACTGGCCTGGCGTGTGCCCCGCGTGTGTCGGTCTGTGGTGCACACGGCCGAGCTCAGCGAGCAGGACAGAGACCAGGAGAGGAGCTGGCGGAGGAGAGCCCAGCTGTTGCTGAGGCTGCCAGCGGCGCCAGAGGAGGAACCTGCTGGCACCGACCCTCCCGCTCCCCACCAGCTGCCGCGCAGCCTCCGCGACGGTTCCTCCTGGCAGTGCAAGGCTACCCCAGCGGGAGAGCCACTCTCATTTTTT